AAAGGGCTAGAATTCAATCAAAAAAATGCTACTGTTCTGTTTTCATCTTGATCCTCAACTTTTAAAACTTATATGACTTTTTGAAGTTATGTTAACACCCAACTGCCAGTATTTTCTCCTAAAGTCAGCTGTATAAGTTAAAGATAACTGTTTAAAGTAGATGTTCTTACACTAAACTATTTTCTGTAATGTTTGTATAATATCAACAGAAGTATAAGATTAATATTATTACAATAGCAATAGTATCATTTACTGAGTATCTATTTTTTTTTTTGAGGCAGAGTCTCGCTTTGTTGTCCAGGGTAGAGTGAGTGCCATGGCATCAGCCTAGCTCACAGCAACCTCAAACTCTGGGCTCGAGCGATCCTTCTGCCTCAGCTCCCGAGTAGCTGGGACTACAGGCATGCGCCACATGCCTGGCTAATTTTTTTTATATATATATCAGTTGGCAATTAATTTCTTTTATTTATAGTAGATAGGGGTCTTGCTCTTGCTCAGGCTGGTTTTGAACTCCTGACCTTGAGCAATCCGCCCGCTCGGCCTCCCAGACAGCTAGGTAAATGGTCATCTATTCTACCCTCCCTATACTCTAAATGAGGACAGATTCCTCAAAAGCAGCCTGAAGTCCTTTAATTTAACCCTTTGATCTACAAAATACAAAGCACAACTGTTCTCTTTACTGCCACATAATAAATATTAGTGTCACCACATTTACTCCTGCCCACTATATAGAGAAAAAGGCTAAGACTTAACAATTTCAAAGCAACAAAGTAAAATAAGGTGATAAATACCTTGCTTGAAATGATCATTTATTCAATTAGAAATTTGGAAAGGAAAAGAAAATAAGTAACTTGGGATACGGTTCAAAGAACAAGAATCGCATATGCCTTAAGGGTCAATAGTAGGAAAAGTTAATAGTTGGCACAATCAGGAGTAGTACCTTTAAAAATAATGCTCAAATCACAACAATCACATTCTCCAAAAGGAGAAAGCAATCCTATTAATATGCTGAACATATGAAAATACAGTTTTATAGGAAAAAACCCACAAATGCCTTCACTATGAAAAGCAGTTCTTTGGATATGCAATATGTGGTAAATTTATACAATCTATATAACCAGTGATGGTAGAGATGTGCTAATGATAGACATGAACATACCAAATACTAGTGGAAATAAAATACTAGCTTAATAGTCTCAAAATGTGTCACTTTGAAATGACTCCAATAAAACAAGCTAAGAACTATGAGCAAGCAAAGCAAATTAGTATTGCTACAGCCTTCACCAGTGATTTCCATTGACAAAGCCAGTGTGTTCCTACAGTCCCTAGTGGGAGCTGTTCAAGAGCTAACCTTCTCTCAGAACAACCACAGAAGGATGCTGAGAAAGTATACAGATAACTCTCGAGTAGCTAATTTCCTCTAGTCCTTAACTCTGCCAGTGAATAAGGGTGTGAAATTCTGGAGTTTCTATGCCTGCACTTTCTTAGGAAATATGCCTCTTGAAAATACACAATGTGTAAGAATAAGAGATGCTTGAATCAAAAGTAGATTTTATATTAGCAACTGAAAATTCTATAACTAAGAAAGGCTGATAGGACTGTGCTTTTCCATCACTGAGGACTTGTCCTGAGTAACTTTTCCTCCAACTGGAGATTACTTAATGAAATCAAGTACACCACACAGGTCTTACCTAACACTTTTATGTAACATTCAACATCGCAAATACAAAGTATGCAACCAACGTAAACTCTGACTGATAACATTATAAAGCAAATTCTAGAAACAAGCTGCTAAACATCACCTTCTATCTGTGATTAATTGCTTACCTAGTTTTATTAAGAATTCTCGTTCCAAGTCTTGCACCTGCCTGATGGATTCTTCCAGAGAATTACAGAGTTTGATCTTTGGTCTTAGCAGTTCTAGTGTATCACTGATCATGTAATCTATATCAATAGGAAATGGATGGTCTTTTGTCCAAACCTCCAAACTTTTCTTCCACCAAACATAACGCTAATAACAAATAAAAAATAAATTTAGCCATAAGAAATTAGTAACATAATAAAATAATGAACTTTATTGTAATGTTACCTAGTTATAATAAGTAAACTAAAAGATTGTACAAGATACCAATTCTATTAATGGTCAATGGCAATGATTCTAATCCAATTATTTCCCTCTATAGCGTTTTTTTTTTTTTTTTTTTTTTTTTTTTTGAGACAGTGTCTCACTTTGTTGCCCAGGCTACAGTGAGTGCCGTGGCATCAGCCTAGCTTACAGCAACCTCAAACTCCTGGGCTCAAGCAATCCTCCTGCCTCAGCCTCCCAAGTAGCTGGGGCTACAGGCATGTACCATCATGCCCGGCTAATTTTTTCCTATATATATTAGTTGGCCAATTAATTTCTTTCTATTTATGGTAGAGACGGGGTCTCACTCTTGCTCAGGCTGGTTTCGAACTCCTGACCTTTAGTGATCTGCCCGCCTCGGTCTCCCAGAGTTCTAGGATTACAGGCGTGAGCCACCGCGCCTGGCCTATAGCGTTTTTGAGATATTTGTTAGCTTTATTAATTACCTTTTTATTGTAACTATCACAGTTTTTTTAAAGCAAGGAAAAATTAAAAATAAAATACCAAATAAATTTTCAAGCACTCTGAAACAAGGCAGAAACCCATACCCACAGCCCAAATGGAGTTTACATATTTAATTTTACAAAAATAACCAGATTCAAAGCCAAAGTTTTGATAAACTTTCATTATTTTCTCTGAGCTACCTGGTTTGATTTTTTAAGAACCAAAGTACCTGAAGATATGATTTTTGAAATATATAAATATTACCAACCATCCACAAGCATTTAGTAAACATCTACTGTGTATATGGCACTGTGTGGACACTTTCCCTCTCTACTCCTAGCTTGGTTCCTTCCATTTATTAATACTTTGTACTTGGTCTAATTCCTGAATTTATATTAACTGAAAGCATAACCCAAGAATTTACTAGCATATAAGAAACATATTCCTCTGGGTGCTTTCTCAACAATATCTCCAGGTGATAAGCATGCACATTAAAGTCTAGAAGCACTGATCCAGGCTACCCTTTCTACCTGGCATTCAAATACTTAACTGTACACACCAGGATCAAGGCAGCACACACTGACCTCATCTCCTAGGCTTGCCTCTCATTCCCTAGGCAGGTCTCTGCTACTGCATTTCTGTTAATCAACTTGGAAAATATTTTTGTCTCTTTCTGCTCCTGAATATTTCTGAGTGGCTCTTTTCTCTCAGCCTGGGATGTTAGAGTGAATCCAAATAAGGATTCTCTTCTGAAAGAAATTCTACTTTAGATATGGTTATAGCTGCCATTTTGCAGCAAAACTGTGGTTTTTTAAATACAGCCTCCAACTTAAGACAGTCCTTACATACAACAAGGAATCTGACTCTCTAATCTGCAAACCCCTCTCCCCAGTTTTTGCTCATCAATTCAGAAAATAAGTGAGTAGTAAGTTGTCCTCTATTGCGAAGGTTTGGTAGGAGAAAGTTAATAAACTATAATTCCCTAAGAATATTTATCCCCACTTAACACTGGCCAATATGTGGATGTATTTTTGATAACTCAAATTATAATATTAAATTTATTTTCTTCCTTAATGGCTAAATGAAAATCCTAACAACTATGATCATACAGAATCAAATGGTACTAATGGTACTTTATTCATTTTATTCATTAGTATCTGAAGCACTTGATAGCAAGCTGTTCACCCTTATCAACACTTACAGCATTGTATTTTATGGGAAATAATAATTGGACTCCAACTAATTAACCTACAAGTTAACTTTTAGAATAAAAACTTTATAGAAGTTATAGGATTGCCTCTGTATTAGTATCTGAATTTAATCTATACTGTACATGTTTTAAATCAAAAATTTATATAATTAACCAAAATTAAGATATGGAAAGCACAATTCAAGAGCTTACAAATATTTTTCTGTGTTAAAATATAACATATTTTCCCCCAAAGTGGTAGATTTTTCTCTCCCTCTCCCCCACACAAAAGGAGAGAAAAAGAGTTTTGGACATAAATCAGAATACAGATGAGCAGGAAGAACATTATCCAATGTATAAAAATCATAAGTAACTTAATAAATTACTATAATAAATGCCATAATTCATAAATTACTATACCAAATTCGTAAGCTTTACCAAAATAATGATCAATTATCAATCATGAAAGTTCTAAGCAATTAAAATGTTTATATAATAGAATCCATCATGTATTTTTAAATCGTTAAAGGCACTCTCATATGAATAAATATAATGTAATCACGAACAGGTATGTTGTGTGTAAATGGTCTTTCTTCTCTAATATTTTTATAACACATGCAATACATTATGTGATGCCCAACAGCATATTTCAGCTTATGTATACCTGAAAATATACAAGGAAGCAGTCAAGTTTTCGTTTACTGGAACCTCTGTCAAAGTACTGGCCACAGGTATCCAAAATAGTGCATACTAGTCTAATTCTGAAAAGATGCTCTGGAGGGTCCAGTGAACTTGGAGAACCATCAGGATTAACACCAAATGAAGTAAAAGAATAAAGAGTTCTGAAAATAACAGCTGATTCCACCATTCGGTAATTATAAAGTTCTCCTAAGAACTTGGCACTGCTGATACGCCTCTGATTAAATTTAGGTTGATTAACCTAAAAAAAGAACAACGAAAAAACAGATTTTCAATAAAGAATAGTAAATGTATTTAAAAACAGGTTAAATTCCCCTCTGTAATTTGACAATATCAATTACTGAAAGAACACTGAACAGAGAAACAACACATGATTTCTTTCCTCCTGTACTAAGATGGTCACTGATGGGTGTTCTTTTTCTCTCTCTAGGAAATGGCTATCTTTTAAATGCTTGAATAAAAAGAACATGATAGAGGCCGGGCGCGGTGGCTCACGCCTGTAATCCTAGCACTCTGGGAGGCCGAGGCGGGCGGATTGCTCGAGGTCAGGAGTTTGAAACCAGCCTGAGCAAGAGCGAGACCCCGTCTCTACTATAAATAGAAAGAACTTAATTGGCCAACTAATATATATAGAAAAAACTAGCCAGGCATGGTGGCGTATGCCTGTAGTCCCAGCTACTTGGGAGGCTGAGGCAGGAGGATCCCTTGAGCCCAGGAGTTTGAGGTTGCTGTGAGCGAGGCTGACACCACGGCACTCACACTAGCCTGGGCAACAAAGCGAGACTCTGTCTCAAAAAAAAAAAAAAAATTAAATTTAGGATTAAGCTACCACAAAATGAATTGTTTATAAACAATTAAAATGTCATTCTCCCTATCAGTCCCCATAATATATTTTGTTCTGTAATTAGTGAATTAAGGAAACATAAGCCTGGATTTTATAGGAAGAGGGAAGTGCTTACAGGAAATTCTTATAAAATGGTTATCAATTTTTTTTCTTAGTAAGTTTATAGATTCTTATAACTTGAGTCTTGTGGCCTTGAAATAATAAAACTAAAACAGTCTTCCCAACTAAGTTTAATAAGCTTGAGAAAAGAGGCAAAAATACTTCAGGCTGGGGTGCCACTGCTCATGCCTCTAATCCCAGCACTCTGGGAGGCCATGACAGGAGGATCTCTCGAGACTGGAAGTTCAAGACCAACGTGGCAACACAGTGAGACCCACCTCTTA